TAATTTCCTAAAGCTCACGGCAGCGCCAAAGCAAAAAAAGGCACCGAGCCACAAGACCAGTGAGCCGCTCAGAAAGGTACCTTTTCTCTGATGAGAGGGAGGATGTGCATCTTGCCCGTGTGGGCGTGTTTCACAGATGAGACAATGAGGCAGGTCTCACTCAGCGTGACCTGGCGCTTCGATCAGCGATCATCGGCAGAGCCAGCTTCCCTTTGCGCACGTGAACACCTCAGAGATCTGCACGCGCTCGAGCGCCACGCTGCGAGCTGCTAGATGAAAGAGGAGTTGGGTGGGAGTGTGGGAAAAAAACAAGACACAGGGGGACATTTTTTTTTATAACGTCCTTTTGGAACACTACAAAACACTATTTTTAGCCGCTTGGAACTTTGTGAATCAACTCTCTCACACTGGGTTTCCCTTTCAGAAAGTGGGCGGTTATGTAACTGTAGCAAGTGGCCCGCGGGCTGAGAGGGCGAGCCGTCACTCAGGCGTGATTTGGTAGGTTAACCCCTCGGTGGCACAATAGAGAAGCCACAGTTGGGTTGCAGTCACAAGGCCGACCAGGGGACTGGCCCGGACGCCGGTGGGCCGTCCCTCTGGGGGTTTTCAAGGGAGGGAAACAGACTACGAACTGGTTTAGAATGGACACACACACACACACACACACACACACACACACACACAACAGAAAGGGAGCCACATGGAGAGGCGGAGCCGCTGCGGGGCCTGGAATCAGATTATCTTGTTGTGTAATGTCTGAGAACACCAGCCCCTTCATCCTCACTCGGGCCTCCATCGACTAACCTCCGCCTGGGTTTGGATTCAGTTTATTATTCATCCATCAAATAGCTCAAAAGTTAAAACCAGATTTGTAGAACTTTAGACAGTACTGACTGTTTGGACAACATTTAACATTTGCAAACGTACGATTCTTGTGTTAAAGGAAGAATGTATTTTGTAGATAAAAGCTTACTTTCCCCAAAGAAAGTTTAGAAACAAGGAAAAGTCTTTGTAAAAATTAACCAAAATTCAGCATCACAACTACAAAATAAAAAAACAACAACAACCCTACTCTCCAAATCTTTATAGAAATTTGATTAAAAAAAAAAAAAAAACTATGTAAAGACACAGATCCAATCAACAGAAAAGTCATGTGAGTCATCCAACAAATCACTAATTAATTATTTAACAATCTATCGATTCTTCCCTTTATCAACCAATCCGTCACGTTCATTTTAAATTAAACTCACTGGATTTCTCACACGGTACAGATCTTATTTGCTTCTCACTTTTAACGGTCTCGGCTCAGACGACTGCGCTCCGTAGTCCAGCTTTCAGTAATTCACTTGTAGAGGACTCCTTTCCTTGCGTGTACCCTCGGTTCTAACAGGAACAGGGAGTCCTGCAGACGCTGATGTCAGTAAATATAAATAAAGATATGAAGGAGGCCGCCGATGGAGAATCCAGGGTAAGCGCGGATCTCGTTGCGAGCGCCACCTCAAGTCTCATGCTATTCGATTCCCATTTAGTCGAAGCCTCAACATTTGTTTTCTTGCATTATTAACGTGTAAAAACATCATACGGTGCCTTTCACCATAAAGCGCGTGGTTGGTTGAATGCGGCGTAAACGGGATCCTGTCAGACTCGCCCTGCTTCCAGCAACACAGTAACGTGGAATGTGTTTTGTTTGGGTCCGCCCTTCCCTGCGTGCGTTAATGTACACACACACACACACATATGTGTGCTGTCCTTCTGTCTATTCCTCTCACTGGGGGACATCCGCTCTCTCGCCAAGAAGCCAATGGCCATTTCCTGACCCCGCTGGTCTTTTCCTTTTTTTTGGTGCATGCGTGTCCCTAAGTGCACCAAGTGTCTGAAACGTGGACTCCGATTACTGATTAGCGGCAGCTACAACACGGCTCTGTGGATTTCAGCTCAATCGGAAGAAAAAAAAGAGACGTTCTTGGGACAAGATTAGAAGTATGCCTCGCCAGCCTGCAGGGATTTAGTGAATTTAGAGCGTGCATATCAATCAGACGCGTTTGTCGGGCGAGTATGTAACCTTGGAGGGAAGCAGTGACCTCTGGGTGCTGCAGTCCTGAGCTGAAGAGGACTCTGCTGCTGCGACTGTCTAGGGGCGGGCGGGGGGGGGGGGAAACACTGAGGGGGTGAAATCCGAGTTCCACTAAGGTCACTTTCCTCTTACCGTCAGCACAGCCTCTGTGTGTGTGTGTGTGTGTGTGTGTGTGTGTGTGAGTGAGTGATAAGAGGGAAAGAAAATACTTTGTAATGTGCATCAGAGGGATTATGAAGCATTAAACCCCTTTGGCTCTGAACACCAACAAATAATTCATATATTGTTCACATGGAAATGCTCACACAGAGAAGGAAAGCACGGGGCATAACTTTTTTCTAATTATTGATAGTTGGACTTCTTCGGGCATATAAAATACATGAAACCAAAATGTAGGAACTGGTGCTAAAAGAGTCTTATTTGACTTAAATCTAAGCAGCGTGAGCGGTCTTTTTTAGGGTCACTTCTCGTGCGCCAGTCCCCTTCGGGCCGGTAGCACTTCTACTTTCCCCACACGCCAGCGTCACGCTGCTCGTCTCACGGGCGAGCTGGAAGGGCCTCTGCTTTCAGCGGCGTAACTCTATGTCATTGCTTTGTTCCTGTGCCATGTTACGGTACAGAGGAGGGAGGGGGGGTTGTAACCAGGAGAGAATAAAACGGCTGTTTTGAAGTCCTGAGTGTACCTCTCCTCCAAGAGGATGTAAGCTCTTGAGACAGATGCGTGAAACATTAGAAACAATATAGAGAATGAAGGTCAAATCAACCTAGAATATGTTCATTTCAGTAAAAAAGGACGCCCCGCCCTACACCCCCCCACATCGCTTTGCCCCAACCGTATTTGCTGATGGTGTGAAAAAACAAGGTCAAAAACAATATTGAGTTGTTCTAATCCCAGAAGAGATCATGGCTGTTTTTCTATCCTCCTACCCGGCTGTTCAGCAAAACAGGATCTTCATCGATAACAACAACATCGACAGAAGAGGATCGTGATTGGTGCCCAAAGAGCACACCTGTTATCTCCAGATGTGTCTCCCCCCCACCCCCCTACGGGCCCACGTGCATCGGGCGAGGAGGGGTTACAGGCAAAACACTGGGCATTGTCCCACCGGGACAATTGAACACACTTGTTTAACAGTTGGACTGAACAAACACAATGACAGCCCTCACGGGGGGCTCTGAAAATAGATGGACGGTGAATGAGCAGAGACAAGCCCAGTACAGCTGATGGGCTCAGTGGTGCATTATGGGGATTGGGAAAAGAATGATAAAAATTAAAAAAACGATGATGTTGATAATGAATGTCTGGATTGCGCCTTAAAACATCAAATGCACGTTTTCCCCAGATGAGTCTTTAGGGAATAATAAAAAAACTAGACTTTTATACAACTTAAAACACTCACCAAAGTAGAAGCGGATTAGACAGCCAACTTCTGGGTTCATCCCCTCCCCCTGCACCCTCCACGGGTCTTCGAATCCCAGATCGGTGAGGTACTCGTTGAATATCTGAAGAGGCCTCTCATCGTCCCCGAGCCTCCGCACGACCCCCCCGTGCAGCTGGACGAAGAGGGCCGGGGTGGGACTAGCGACAACGGGGTCCGGCCACCCTGTGGCCTCCCCCGGGGCCACCCCCGGGTCGGGCTGGTCCGTCGACGCTTGGCTGGACAGCGGCCGAGCCTGGGAACTGCCGGGGCATTTGGACGGAGGTCCGATGGAGCCGGGCGCGGCTGCGGCTCCGCCGTCGCCCGGTGCCGCCGTCACCGGGCTGTCGGCGCTGCGGGGGTCTCCGGTGGGCGGGTCGGCCGCGCAGCGGTCGGTCGGGTGCGTCGGGGAAGACGTGAGGTCCACCTCGTCCGAGGAGCTCTCGAAGGGGTCGGGCCCCTCCGTGGCGCTGTCGCCGGTCGGGCTGAGCGCCGAGGAGTCCGTGCCCAGACCCGGGCCGTCGCTGAGCTCCGTGCTTCGGGGCCCACCGGCGCTGAAGTCGTCACAGGTGCTGCTCTCCATGTCCGAACCGGAGTAGGCCCCGTACGAGTCGGCCGCGCTCAGGCTCAGGTCCACCCCGATGTCATTGAGGTAGACCTCCGACGAGGAGTTACTCGCGGTCTTATCCTCCAACAAGTTGGAATGCAGTTTAGCGTCGATTCGGTCCGCCTTGGTGCGCCCGCTGTCCTCCGCTTCGGGGGGTTTGACCTCCGCCCCGGTGTCGTCCGGGTGTCCGTCGGTGGCTTCGCAGCGATCGCTCGGGTCAACTACAGCCGCCGTCCTGCCGTGGATTCTCAGCACGGCCCCCGCTTTGCTGCCCCCCAGCCTGCCGGCGACCTCCGCCGCGGTGGTGTCCACCGTGCAGAGCACCGGCCGCGGGTAGGAGGGCGTGAGCCAGTCGTGAACGTGTATGCAGCCGCGGCGCGAGTCCGATCTCACCCACGTCTTGTCCGAGGCCTGGAGCTGCTTGGACTGCTTCTGCCGAAGGAACGTCTTCCGGTCCAGGCTGAGGGTGCTCAGCGGCGAGGCGGCGGGAGCGGGACCCGCCGCCTCGCCGGAGGACGCGCCGGGCGAGCCGCTGGTCGGCGGAGCCCCCAGAGACAGATTCCTCTTGTGTCTCTGCCGTCTCCGGCTCAGCATGGAGTTGACAGAGGCGGTGCTGTTGGCTGATGCCAGGCTGTATATGCTGGCGGCTTTGGCGGCGTGAATGGTCGTGCTTTTGGTCGCACCGCCGACCGCGTTGGCAACTTGGTTCTGATAGATCCCGTTCCTGATCGCAATCTGCAGCAGGGAGGTGGCCGCGAGTCCCTTCCCAAAGAGTTTCGTTTCCGCGCCCCCGCCATCGTCCTCCCCGATTGAGGGTCTCTTCCCCGCAGACAGCGTTGTCAACGACAATCCACTTGGCTTCGCGGGATTACTGTCACTGCCACAATCATGGACCCCCTGTGGCGTCGAAGAAGTTGGAAGCGCTTCGGGCTGGTTTTCCTTCACACTTTCCATCCTGTTAGCTGGCAACGGTGGAACCAGTTGGCGTCAGTTAGCCCCGCACAGCCCGCAGGTGAACGCTAGCCCCCGTTAGCTCGCAGCCGTTAGCCCGCTCCACTGGCTCTTTCCTCCACGGCTATACGTGTGTGTGTGTGTGCGGCTCCGCGTTAGCTTAGCACGCTAAAGTACTGTTCGGTTCGTCCGACGAGTTGTTCCGCTACATCCTTCCATTCCGCAGAACACCCGTTAGCTCGCCGAAGGGAGCTAACCGGCTGGCCGACATTAGAAATGCCTTTTCTAGTTGCTCGCCATGGAAGCTAGCGCGAGAGGGCGCGACCGCCACTGTGCAGGCGGAGGGGAGAGTGGCGGTCAACGGTACAGCGTGGACAGGGCGGGGTCTCATCGGATATGAATTATGACACCTTTGAGTGCTCCCGAAAGCTCGGAATTTGGAAAGATATGTACATGACAGGGAATCTGACTTCTCGACTTGTTTAAAGCATTGGCCAAAACAAAACAAAACAACTGGCTGTGTGAATTACTCACAGTGTGTATCACTGTAGAATAGATAATGTCAAGAAAACCGACGTTTAATACAGTAATATAAGTATTAGCCAGGGATGGATGGATGGATGGATGGATGAAGTAGCTACACAGATGTATTGTATTATTGTTTATTGTCTATGTCGCTAGTGGTGCAATGTAATAAGTTTACAAAAAGTCTTAATTCGTAAAGTATCTAGTAACTAATGATGTAAAGTGTACCAAAGTAAAAACTAAAACGTTGAATAGTATAGTACATATTTTGAAATATAAAATATAATAAACTGAAGATTATTGTATGCGCAAGTAGTTCTCTCCACTACATTAAATACAGTTAAATAAGTACAAGCTTCATAGAGTCAGTGAAGGCAACATACAGTGTAGTTACATTAGTCTACCAGATCAGGCATTTAAGAGCATTCTTCTTAACCTAATCAAAGCATATTGTTTAGTTTTACTATGTGATTATATTTCTTCTTGTAAATGTATAAAATGAAACGTACTCTACAATTTACTGCATACTTGAGTTTTAGCTTGTCTTTTACTACCACCTAGTGGGACAAAGGGTGTATAATCATGGGGACTAGCAATTCTTTAAAAACACACTATTTTACTGTATTATTCAATGTTTGAAGAAGTATTCAGATCCATTGCTTGAACAAAATAAAAAGTGAAACAAGTCGATATTTTTCCATTACAAGTGACCTGCAAGTCCTGCATTTAGGATGTACGCATCGTTTTCTTATATGTAATTTAACACTACAATTTGCATATATCATATCAAAAGTAAAAGTATCATTGTGCGGATGAACAATTTAAGTTGCAATGTAATGTGTCATGGCAAAGCCATTTTAAACAATTTTATTTTGTTGGTTAATCCCAAACAAAGCCTTCTATCTTTTAAAAAAAAATTTAAACACAATTTCTATCCGTATAGAAGGTGTATTTATCACGCAGTGAAGTAGAGGTGTAAAGTAGCACACTGATAAAACAAACGACTCAAGTAGTTTCTCCCCCGTATAACACTAGGCGCTGTTGTGGTTTTAAAATGAAAATCTCGCAGTGTATTCAGCCACGTATGCTCATTGTTTATAGTAGGGGGAGGTAGCAGCGTGTTATAACGCCTTAGTCGATTTCTCATGCACACCAGTGCTGTCTACTCTGCAGTCCAACAGAGGGCAAAGTGCAAGCTGCACAGTGACTGTGAGTTTATCATGCTCACTCTCTCTTGCTCTCTTTCTCTTCCTCCCTCCCCCCTCGAGTCTCCACCTAGTTTTCTATAGCAGTCTGACTTTCACTCATCGGGCGACAAATTTGCTTTGATTTTCCGGTTTATTGCAACTTCAGCAAAGGTAAGACCCCCTCGTCTTGTCTGAAATGTTTACTTGAAGTAATCTGCAGCTATGTAACTCCCATGAATGCATGAATGCTTCCCACTTTGTCTGTACGGCTACTTCATTGTTTATTCTTGTTGGACAAACTGGACATGTCGCTTCTCTCTCTAGAATTGTATTCAGTAAACAAAGGGACATGTGACGGGTGGTAAACCTCCAGGGGATTAATAGTAAAAAGTGCCTCCCTAGAGACTCAGTGAGAGGGGGAGATTAACCTACTGACACATTAAGACACTGAGCCTCAGGAGACGGGTTTCCACTGAGATCGGTCCATTTTAAGAGGCCATTAAATCTCGCAATAAGTCTTCAAAGCCTTCTTTTTAAGGTCAAGTGAAAAACCCTGCCGTTGGGGATGCGATAATCCCATTTATAACTAATGCAAATGAACTTGCCTTGAATCAGGTGACACGGATCTGATACCACTCGGTGTAGTAGCTTGCTAATTAACTGAGATATCTTTGAAACAAGTACAATCAAATGAAATGACCTCATGTGGTTTGTGGATTTAAGTCAGTCTATGAATGAACGAACAAAACTGAATAACTAAAACGTCTCTGTGGATCAGATGTACTAAAGGTAGATTAGTCTGGAAAAAGGCTTTAAAAATGGAAGGGGAGTAAAACAGAGTAAAAGCGGATCTTATTTCAGAAGAAACTAGCGGATTATAAAAAAACAATTGCTGGTTGCAGTGAGGTAAATTTCCCTCCTCGTATTTTGCACAAACTATTTTTAAAGAATCAATTGGTTGGATTACAGACACTAAGATGCGTCTATTGTTCCTGTATTTAAGAAGGCTGAGGATGTTTATTTTCTATCAAAAGGGCTTTTTACAGAATGCTTTTCTTTAAAAAATGGGAAATAGAGACTATAATTAGTCCAAGCTCAAGGACATTGCTGAGCAGCTCTCCCCATGGCAACGTGTGTGTTTGCATGTGTGTATGTGTGGTCGGGTCACTCACTTCCGTTTGTTTTTGGTTCCTCAAGCAGAGCGCTGACAAATTTAGGTTGGAACAAATCTAAAAACGTTGAGAAAACAGAGCTGAAATAGATAATTGGCGGGTAGTCACTCATTAAGATTGTTTCACCAACCCTGTCAACGTTTTCAGCAGGACACGTCTTACACTGTCAGAATGTTTCCCAGAGAGTAGCCATTGTTTTTATGTTTTGTTGGCTTAGTCTGCATTTGTAACTTTAAAGGGAAATAGGGGATATGAAACGGAGGGCTACCTTTAAGCACTTGTACGAGTGACCCAGCGAGCAGTTGGTTTTCTCCAATAAGTACAGTAATACACAAAAAAAAAATGAAAACAACTTAATTTAATTTAAATGTGGGTATTTTAGTAAAAATCTTAAACAGACACATGCATCCAAAATGAAGACGCCTAATATCCCTCAAAAGATCAGTAGGCCTTCACGCATAACTTATACAGAGCACAGTATGAAAATAAGCAATTATAGTAATCTTCATTTAGAAGAATATTTATATATGATGTAAAGTTAAGTTGTAGACATTTGATCACTTTAATACAAATGACACTGTTTGGTTACTCCATCAGCACCCAACATAATAAACCTGCTCGCATTAAAGAACAAGAGTGAAACACAAAACGAGATGGCAGCATTGAGCGGCATCATTAACGCTGCCGGGGTCACCGGGGTATTCTTGTACTGTGTGTGGTGAAAACGCTTGTCTCATTGTTTACAGTGCTGCGGTCACATGGTGCAACATGCATGTTGTTCTCACACCCATAGGCGTGCACTAAAATACTCACAGTAATTGTTCTGGTCCACATGCTCACACAGAGCCCAGAACTAGGCACCGAATGGTTCACAGAAGAATAATGCAGGATGTCACATCCTTCAGGACTTTGAGTAATACGGTCAAAATAACAGCAACCTCAAGTTCCTGTCACCTCTTTATATGAGGTTTCAAGAACTGGTGGATTCCAGAGATGATCTTATAATACTGAGATCTTCCCAGCTAAATTTCCCCCCATTGTCAAAACTGTTTCTTCACAGATTTGGTCCTTAATAGATGAGTAAATATATAGAGTAAAATTCAGCTTTTCACCAAATTTGAACAGGATGAAATATGTCTCGACTTGTAACGCTGTCGTCAGCACTGCCTTTGATAAACAGTTTTAAGGACTTATAAGTCTTTACAGCTCCTTCAACCTAATCACAGATAATAACACTGCAACGAGTAAACGCGCAGAAGTTCGTTGTAGGAGTCACACAAAAGTGAATTGATGAATCACTTTTGAAAGAAAGCCTTTCTCTTCTTTTGAATGATACAACCACCAATTCAATAATTGTAAAAAAAAACAAACCATCCATTGTAAAAGATTCATCACGTGAATAACTCATTCTAAGTTTATGGTTTTTCTCATCAGGGTTTGTGGATTTAGGAAGATGAGTGATGAGATTATATGGTGTTTCTTTGTGACTCATCGCCGCCTCTGATCCGGTCACAAGCCTCAAAGAAGATCAGCCTTTTGTTTAGTTCCTCGTTATTTTGACTTTGACCCCACCAATTTAGAATCACATCCCTTAAAAGGATTTAAGGATTATTAAGGCTGAACGGCAGAAACTATCTGTGGACGCAAAAAACATTCGGTCTACTTGGAACTCTCGCTGATTTGACAAAAACCTCAGAAAAACACCCTGCAAACCTCTGCTGATCTAAAGAGGGAATTCTCACTTCCCCAAACATGTCCATGACTTTCATTCTCACACACTCTGCATGTCATTCTGTGTAGGCCGACCACATGACCGAGATCAGTCATGGAAGAACAGCAGAGAATCGATCTGACTTACATCACGGAACGCATCATCACCATAGTCTGCCCCCCTGGATGTCCAGAGAAGATCTACCTGCAGAACCTGCAGGAGATCATTTTCCTGTTGCGGTCCAAGCACGGACATCACTACATGGTGAGCCCGAACACACCGAGCTGGAAATAAACCACATGCATGTCCTGCAATTTGTCCAGTTTCGCTCCCAGAAAATCATGAAAATAATGTGTCCTCGCTCCTTCAGCTCGTCAACCTCTCACAAAAAACCCAAACCCTCACACACATGAACCACAAGGTAACGATGACACTTCCAAGTTCTGATTTTTGTGGTAATATGATGAACTAGTAAGCACTTTATTAGCACTTATGGTGGCACCCGCTTATTGCACTCGATTCATGTTGTTCTGGTTCTGCACACTTTGATTGAAGGCGTCAGCTAAATGCAAAGTGTAAATGTGTGTGTGTGTGTCTGTCAGGTTTTGGACACAGGTTGGGTGGAGCTCCTGGCCCCTGACCTGGACCAGATCTTTAGCGCGTGCACGACGATGAGGGACTGGCTGCAAACACATCCGAAGCACGTCCTGGTGTTACACTGCAGGGTAAACGTCGCTGGTTCCTCTGCACACAGCGACACTGACGTGCACTTCGAATCAATCACTCAAACTGTGAAAACGTTTATTTATTCTGATTGCCCTCCGCAGGGGTGTAAAGGCCGTCTCGGAGTTCTGGTGGCTTCTTACATCCACATCTGCAACATGTCAGCCAGGTAACACTGATGCCGTGTGAATTGATTGGAATGGAACGGCGGATACAAATTGAACTTGAATTTTTTGAAAAAACAATGGAAATTTATGACAATGTACAACCACCAGTACTTAAAGATGCTAGTTTGTTGGATATGTAGTTTGTAATGATCGCCGCTGTTTGCCGGCTAGTTGGAGAGCAGCGTAATCATTTCCATTATGTTTCAATTGTAAATGCGGACCGGTTTGTTAATAGTTTATTGTTGGACCTACAGTATTTGCAGATGAAAGAGAGCTGCCAGAATAAGAGAACGGAGGCTACTTAATGCCTCCAACAGCCGAGGGGCAGGAGCCGACCGGATGATTGATGGACTAAGAACGAGGCTGTTATTTGATTTTCGGGCAGGGATCCTGTTGCCGTTGGACACTAGTTGATTTATTTAATCTTAATTTACCTGCATGGCGAAGTGTGCGTCTAGAAGACACAACATATTTTGAATGTGGAAAGTGTTTACAGTGAACATTACAGCCTTTGTGTTTAATGTGGCTGCATGTTTTCCATTTCAGTGTTTAAAAGTTAACATCCTCTGTTACGCATGTATTAATGGGATGAAGGTAAAGGTTAGTTTGAGTTCTTTCTGCACTGTTGGTGTGGTTGACTCACTGTTGAGAAACATGTGATTGGGACCATTGTCGCTCTCTGTGCTTTTGTGAGTGAGTGCAGCTATGCAAAGGTTTGTGAACGACTGTAAATCTGACAAAAATCACAAAAAAAGAATAAATAGTTTTCTTCTGCCGGTCTCAAATCAAACAGATCGTTTTGTTTTTTTGTCTATTGTGGGATTCTGCTTCCAGCTCAAAACATAAGCGGCAAATTATATCTTGTACGCATTGTAGGTTACACTTTAAAATGTCCAAAGCATCATACTTGTTCTCTATTGTTATTCTGGATAATATTTTTTAAATAATATTTTTTGGAAAGGGAATATTTTAACTCCCTGAAGGGTATCATCGCTAACTTTAGGCATTAAAGTGAGTTTACAGGTCTTGGAGAGCACTACTGTGGAAAAACGCTATAAAACTTTGGGCGTGTGCGTGTGGAGGCCTTAAGAAGGGAGCCTGCCAGACCTGTGGCCCTCTCAGGGACATTCGCTCAGGCTACAGAAGCTGCTGCTTGCATAACACACACAACCCCCCCGCTCTCTGATTCCAGCTGACACATTTATTGCTGTGAACCAGGATGATTTTGTGGTTGAGAAGATCAGTTTAGTTGGTTCTAAAGCTTTCGATCACCTCACGTGATCTTCATCAATGAATATCTCCAAACCGGGGGCACATAAAAATCCAATATCTGCATGGTTAGATATGATATCATGTACTTCCAATGTGAAATGCATCACCGTCTGAATATATGCCTCTCTCTCAGTGCAGAACTTTCTCTCGACCATTTTGCCATGAGGAGGTTCTACAACGACAAACTGTCAGCTCTGATGACCCCCTCGCAAAAACGGTAAGAACAGGCTCGTTGGAGCAGGACCGCTTGCGGGTCAAAGGTCCCAGCCTCTGATCTTTTGTGTAGGCCGAGGAATCTGCTGTGACTGTTGACCTCCGCGCGCACGGCCTTTAATCAGCTGATTTATCCTCTTTTGAAATAGTTGGTAGAAACAAAGCAACAACAAGGATGTGAAACAAGGAGACTGGCTCGATGAACATACTTCAACAACCACACTATTGTCCAGTCACAAAGCGATTTGGGAGACTTGTGTTGGGTTAACAGCATGAATGCGTCTCTCTGTGCTCTCTAGGTATGTGTGGATGCTGGGAAGCATGTTAAAGGGCGGACTCAGGATGTCTCCCTCGCCGTCTTTCCTCCTGTGTGTTGTTCTTCACCGGCTTCCTAAAATAAGACCAGATGGAGGTAAGCGGATGTCTGATATTAATAGGAAGAGGCGAAGTCGATGAATAGCGGTCTCTAGTCGTTGCAAAAAGCACAAAGTACACTCCTTTTCATCTCCAATGAGGAAGAATAAAGAAAAAGGCCAAAAGATGTAACGTCCAAAAAGTCGTCTAAATCGAGTCAAAGTCTCAAGCCTTGAGTCAACAGCTTTGCTTTATGCTTCCTGAACAATGCTGAACATTTCTTTTGCAAACAAATAGCATTTGTTGTGATGAAGGTCTTCCTTTTCCCAGCATGTTGTCTCTTCCTGAGAGTCTACCAGAGTCTACAAGCTGTTTGCACGTCAGCAGTCTAGTAAGAAACCACCCAATCACATTGTAACCACTTATCATGGCCGGATGTTATTCAGAATAGAATAATGCATGTTTGTATGTACCTCAGCCGTGTCAATGCAGCCCAGACGGACCGCCTCTACTTTGTGCTGCAGCCAGCTCAGCTGCTCAAAGGGGACATCATGGTGAGCGCGAATGTTTAATCATGTAGGGTTATGGTATCGATTTCTACTGCAGTGTTTAGCTTTCGGGTGGCACTTTATTTTTTACAGACATGTAGTTTACAAAGAAATTCCCAATGTTATGCCATGAATTGGTAATTTGATCATTTTAGGGAAAATGAGAATCTCTTTCAAATTCTTTGAAAGTGATTATTAATTCTGCGTCTACTTGATGCTACTGTCCGTACATTCAAGACGTGCGTCATCTTCTGTCTGATTTTAGGTGGTTTGTTATGATAAAAACAGCCAGTCAGCCAGCCGCCAGGTCGTCTTCCGTCTCCAGTTTCATACGGGTCTCGTAGTAGGAAACAACCTCACTTTCTGCAAGGCCGACCTCGACTGTGCCGATGAAGGTATTTATAACCTGCCCATTGCTAACTGGTGTTTCAGGCGCTATCAAATGATATCCATATCAATCAGTAACTGGCAAATCATTCAGTCGTCCTCCAATGTAAACAGCACCAATCAGAACTAACCTTGGACCCTCTATCAGCTGGAACTATCTCCAGTGTGCAAAGTTAACTTTCCAGTCTGTCCCATCTGCTATTATTCCAGATGCTCGGTTCCCAGAAGATGGAAAAGTGGAGCTGTTGCTCTCTGACAGCCCTGAAAAGATTACAGGTACATTTCTTCTGAAACTTGTAGTGAACTAAAGGCTCCGGCAGATACGACAAAGTACGAACCGGTACCATCTGTGCATTTACTAATTACAATGTCACCTGAAGGACGGCTGAGGCTGATGAGAATTGGTGTTACAGGTATTTAGTCATCAATCAAAGTATTGGATCAAAATGTGAGCCTCAAGGTGGCGCTGGAGAAAAAGTCAGGGAAGCCATTATGATTCATCCTCTGGGGACAGTGTGAACCAAATTGAATGGAAAATCCGTAGTTCTGCTATTTAAATGGGGGTCAGAAACTTTGCCATTTAGAACTATTCTAAGTCCCGGTACTTTCTAGTCCGCACGGATTGGAGGAAGAAATGCTTCTTTTTTTACATCATTCTTTTTAAAGAATAACTCGTTGAGTCCCTCAAAAAGTACAGTTATCCAGTATTTAATGAGGGGAAAGTCATCGGTCATGTTGTCGTTAGTAAACCTTGCTCAAACTGACACATCCAAACATCTGGAAAATCAGAACACGCTCACACATGCACACATGCACACGCGTTCACACAGACACACTGTTTTGGCTGCATGTGCTGCAGATGAACAAAGGCTGCACCGTTCTTCTAATTCAAGCAGAAGAGACATCGATGACTCAGTTTAAAACACAACACTCACTCACTCGCTCACTACTCATGAAGGAATAACATCACTATCAAGTTTCAACAAAGTGTCGCCCAGGTGGGGGCAGTGTTGGACACCGAGAGGAGGGCATTACCGCCAAACTGCCACCAAGCGCTCACAGCCACACACAACCACACACAACCACACACAACCACACACCTCGCCTCTCAACAGGAAGCAATATGAGGAGTTATCACACACACACATCGGACAGGAATTCTGAGCGGAGATACTGTACGAGCTAAAACACAGAGGCGGAGAGGAAAAAGGACACACACAGACAGTGACACTACTAAGCACACACTATTTCCTAAACATAACTTGAAAGAGAACTGGTATCAACTAGTGTGTGTGTGTGTGTGTGTGTGTGTGTGTGTGTGTGTGTGCGTGTGAGCGAGCTGTTGCTGTTTAACTGACTCTGACCAGGACTGCCTCTTTTTCTGCTGGTCTGTTTGTCATTTCCATGTGCAGGCAGAGAGCTGTGGAGCAACGGGCGCTGTGTGACCGTGGACTATGACACCTTAGACCCTTTGGTCAGACGAGATTCATATCGAGACACGTCTCCTCTTGAGACAGGTGAGGTGCATTTTAATCTTTTTCACGAGATAACACCTTTTATTTCTTTCACTTTCTCCTCCAGTTCTCGATTCCCGTTGCATCTTTGGCTTAGTTATTAGACAGGGTTCAACACCAAAGCACTGCATTTTAGGAAAAAGCACAATATGAGAGATAGATGGACGTGTGGGCTCTGCTCTTGTAATGGTGACCTTCATTCAGTTTCCATTGCATTCTTAGGGAGGCAACAATGCCAAGTTTTGACCTTTAGAAGTTGTACCTCCTTCACAACAAACAATTTGGCTTTCAACAACTACTGTCCAACATATCTGGTTCTTTAAATAATCAATGCTCTATTCTGTTGACGCCGGAAACAAAGCTGTAAGAGGGGGGAATCAAGTAAAGTTGTGGGCCGGAGGGATAAACACTGCTTTAACTAGAATTGATTTACAATAAATGGGTTCAACCATGCAAAATCACAGGTATATTTCTTTAAAGTCGTTCTTATACATTTGTTATATGTTTAAAAGAACAATGGTGGTTTCTGAAGAGCTTAGATGTCGCACTATCAATCAATGGTGAGCTGGTGAGCATTTCTCCACTGAACGAAGAGCAGAGAACCAACTCTGCCCTATTCACTTAGGCAAGAACTTGACAGACGGTCCATCCAGTCACCTGCCAAGTATTTCTTGAAAGTGCCGGCCCTTTTCCCAACAGTTTCCAATGACGGCTTCGGAGATGGCCCCGTCTTTTAAACCATCTGGCGGTCACTGTTTTCCCCCCCAAAGTGGTAAAAATAAATCCGTTAATGTATCTCTGGCTGCCCTCCAGAGGTCGTATCCCCCTGTGGATGCAGATCCAACCTCGGATGGGCTGTTTAGGCTCTTGGCCGAGTGACAGTCCACAACTGTTGTGGTTGCGATGGCTCTTTTTCTACACTCGGCCAGACCGGACCAGACCCTTGTGTTTGGAGGCGGCTGTTTGCCAAACAGTTTCCATTCACTTGGAATAAATGGTTCGCACACAGAAAAACACCGGCACAAAACCACTAATCCAGACAGCTGGAAGAATCACTTAAAGGGTCCGTTGAGGTTTTGAGTTCCAGCTGTTTTATGCCAAGGCATGTAATTTAGATGGACCGATCACTGGGGGGGAGAAAAGCAGAAAAGTGGCACGTTAACGCACATTTACACACCGGCTCTTGGCCATTACCTCCAACCACCAACACACACGCATGCACACGAGCATAATGAGCGTGCCAGCTAGTTAGCAACGCCAGTCGCAAGAATGTTGGTTTCAACCCCAGGTGGTTCTATTTTACCCTCACAGCCCACAAACAGCCCTCTCCTCCACTACTCGTATCACTCCATCTGCCCCCCCTCCTTTTACTCTCCTTATCTCCTATTCCCCTTTTATTTGGTCTTCCAACTGAAGCGTGTGGCTCTCATGTTCAAGTTGCAGGTTGCAATTTGTCCAATCTGGCCCCTTCCCCCTTCTGCACACTAGTCTCTCTGGAGCCCGCCCCCATGTTTACATTGCCCTCTCCATGTTTGGCCAGCTCAAGGTCCCTGTGCTTTGTGTTTCCTTCCCCTGAAAGTGCATTGTGCGTGCCGCACACACTCCTCCACCTGTGGGCCGCCCGGTGAATGATCCACCCCAGTGTCTTCTACCGCTTTCCTCCATAGCACATGAAAATGCATGAGGGCGCACTCTCTGCACAGCGTTACCTACCTGTTTCAGCCGGGGCAGGATGCAGGGGAGGGAGGGGGGGGGAGGGGGTCGGAGGAGGAGGGATGAGGCAAAGCAAGGGTAATTCTGTAGTCACCGTGAAGGCGGGGATTTGAAGTGTAGGAACGGAGCAGACGAGGAAGTAAGGACACGAGAGAGGGGAAAGAGAGAGAGAGAGGGGGACACTGGGGGGCTGTTAGCACCTTAAGAGAAGGAATGTTCTTTTCTTGTCTTCCTGTAGCAGCCTGAGAGGACGACAGCCGAGGAGCAACTTCAACTAAGCTGGTCTGAATCTTTTTCAGCCTCCTTTTCTTTCTCCGCCCGTCTCCTCATCCTCATTCCGTCCTTGTCCTTGCCGTCTCTTTCAGCTTGTCATCTGTTTCTCTTTTCCTCTTTCTCTGACTCCGAAGGGAGCTTTTTCGGAAAGCATTTCCATCCTGTTTCTAGCCCTCAGTGGGAACAGTGAAAGTTCACTGGCAGACTGCTGGTGAGTAGGTGAGCTGCTTTTTGGGCATTTTCTACTGAAGCATGGTGAGATTTACACAGTGTGTGTTTACCAGCGTGTGAATGTACTATTCTGTGCATCTGTGTGCGAGAAATCTCCCAGAGCAGCTGTGAGGTTTTACCACGTGTGCTATTTGAGATTTATTGTCTCCGGTCTTAAGAGGCTGTGCTCATGCAGCTCTGCGTGTATTGTTACAGTCACCGTACAACGCAGTCTCATTTGGACGTGACGAGCTTTGTCAAGAAAAGAGCAGCTTGTTTCCATCTAACGCGCGTCTGCTACATTCACAATGCAAATTAGCTTTAGAAGCTGAATATATTTAGTTTACTATCTTATTAGAACAAATTATAAAGCAAGCAGAAGGGAAGGCGCTGCATGAAATAAAAACGTAAAGGGTGAAACAAACAAACAGCTTGTTAATTGGATTTGTTTAATTTGAATCGACCGATTGATTAATCGATTGATTTTCCCAGCTTCAGTACATTTCCAACTGGCTGTAAGACACACGCCGGAAAAAACAAACGTGTGCGCGCGTGTGTTTGTGTGTACAATCTGCCCCATCTGGCCTCAGGTACACGTCTGTGACGAACTAGTCCTTTCCATGACACACACCCGCTCACACACATACACACAACTTAGCACGCACGCATCCGCCAGCGCGCACAAAGGGCCTCTGTGTTATCGACATGGAGTGTGTCTGGAGTGATGGCTGCGACAGGTGTTGTGTTTGTGTGTCACAGTGAATCATATGCAGTAATAGCACATACGCACATATACATTTGAAGCCCTAATTGATGTTCCATGTGAACATTTTGAATATAATAATACTGTACTAATATAATTAAATAGGAAAGGGCCTCGGCTGGGTTATTTTTGCAGATGAAGACTGATGTCATCATGTCCTCCTCACTTGTGACATGAAAGCGACACTCTTGCTTGTAAGAGGTCACCTTCCCGTCTGCTTTTCACACGTAAACCTCTGAAATGTTGTCTTCACAGCTCCACCTCACACGCTCGGCCCTGGAAATGGGAGTTGGTTTGCCAAAGTGAGGAAGACGAGTAGCGAGGAAGGAGCCTCGTTCCGCCTGGCCACCAGCAGCCCCGTCTGCAGTGACCAAGCTCCATCGGTCAGCAGTGACTCCGGCCTGTCTGTCGCCTCTCAGGGGCGGACCGGAGTCGGACAGAGCAGGGGGGCGGCGCGGGACAAGTTCACCCAGGCCGGGAAGCTGCTCTCCGGGTTGGACTTTGAGATCGCTCAGCCTCCTGTGGAGGTCATGACTGACCTTGCTGCTTCCTGCGGATGGGAGGGGGAGACGACCGGGGGTGAATCTGAGCTGGGACACGCCGTCAACGGCGAGGCCTCGTCCGGCGAGAGGGAGACCGACATACTAGATGATGAGGACGACGTGGATGGCGTGGCACCTCCTGCTTCCGACATGCCGAGCTCGAGCGGCATCGGCTCCCTCCCCTCCGACAACCTGCCCCAAACTGAGAGATCGGCCCACGCCGAGTACTCCACGCACTCCTGGGTTCGCCAACAGCAGATGGTTGACGTTGGGGGAGAGATGTTGGACAACGGGCTGAGAAAACCGAGGCCGTCGGCTCGGGTTGCTCCCAACACCCCGCGCCGAGGACACAGCAGCAGGGAGGCCGCGCAGAGAGGGCCGGCGAGCGAGGATGGCGCGCACAGCGTCCCACAAAACACCGACGTCACTCACAACGCACAGTCGGTCCATGCGGCTTCGGCTCCATCCTGCCAAGACGAGGACCTGTCGTCGTTGAACACAGATGCCGACGAGTCCATAGAGCAGCTGAACCGGCTGATTTTGGATTTGGACCCCACCTTTGTTCCCGTTCCCACCCGCTGCGCGCCGGTGTCCCGCTCCGCCTCCGTCCACTCCAACGGACTCAGCCCCAAGGGAGATACCCATCGGTCAGGTGAGACAGCGATGAAGAAAAACAAAGGACGCATCACACCACGTTTCAAACGATACCAAATCCTAGTCTAGACGGGCAGAACGGCTCTAGGTCCGGCCCTCTTGATCGGTTAGTCCACCACACTGTAAACAGCAGCATGACCAAGACATTTTGTGCAGGCCGTCATTGTCACTACTATTATCTTCTGACTTGTCCTGTAGCTCCTCCTTTGGGTGAGTGGGTGGTTGAAATCTGGTACACACACGATCCAATCTACACCTGTAGAACTACTGTCAATTCCATCTGCCTCAGCTTCAGTTTGTGGACCTTGTACACCTGCTAGACCTCAGCATAGTAAAATTCGGCCTTTCAGCTCAAAGCTCTGTGGCTGTTGAAGAGGCGGATCCAATCTCTGCCTGCACATACAGAGAAACCTTTATAACCCAGACTGAGGTAGTGAAGCGCTGCCCGACAGTGGAAATCTACTCCCGGGTTTATTGCAGTTCAGAAGGTGTGTTTGTTAATGCGCACAGTGTTTGATGAAAGCGTGGCAGAGTTGGATCGAACAGGTTGTGAATATTCCCCACAATCATCACCATAATTTACCGATCATTCCGCCTTAGGTTAAATGGTAATGTACTTTTGTTTATGTTTATCATTCACAGCTGCACGCCCGTCGCTTTAACCGCAGATGTTGAAGTTCTTTCAACTTTTATGATGCACAATTAAACCTTTTTAAAAAATGATTAATTTTAAAATGTATTAATCTATTTTATCATTCACATCTTTTAGTCTGGGTTTAACAGCCATGAACAAAAGCACGAGGAAAGGGACATTTGTCAAGGATGAAAATACTGCTCTGATCTGCTAAACGACAAGAAGTTCTAAGACTGCAAATTTCAAAAATGTGTGACTTTTTACCTCAACAACACCAAAACGAAGGTGTTAATGTGGCAAGATGTCCTTCATATACTCCTCAAGGCAACTTACCTTCTTTATTTCTTCCTTTTTACTTTCAGTTCTGGTTCGAGCTGATTCACTTACTTTACGTTCCCTATTTTAGTTCCTTGCCACGATTGTTTCTTAACATTTTTATTTGATGCTATAATTGTAAATAAGATCTTTACTCAAATTTTTTTCTGAGTTTGAATAAAGGTCGAATGAGTATGAATTCAATATAGATCCGATCGTGTGTGAAAAGAGGGAGAAAGGTGTGTTTAGCTGTGCAGAAGAATAATGACTTTTTAGTTTAGGACTTTGAAAGTCATTGTCGAGCCTCGACCTTCACCTGAACATGTCACAGTGGTGATCGCTGCTGCAGCTTTGCCTCTTTGCCACTGTTTCCTGTCACCCTGCTGGCACGTACGGCAGGTTTAGTCCTTCTAACATCCACTGGGACGCAGCCGGGAAGAAGAGGCGACCCCGGCCCCTTGATGCGTTTTCGGGTTTTGAGCGCCACGGGTCATCGGCGTGTGGGTGATGTCATCGCTTCCCGGCTCTCACATGCGGAGCAGCTGCTCCATCAAAGCCGACCCGAGTGGCCCGCCGGTCCTTATGGGAGTTCCCCGAAAGTGCAGAACGTCCCTGACAGCTCCTGAATCTCTGACCTGCGGCCATGTGCCCCCGCGAGGGTTACGGTCCCGTGCTGAGCTTTAACCTCTGACCTTGTGTTATTGTGCAGCGTCAGGTCAATGGAAGCGTCTCCTGGCTCTTCTCCTGACGATGGAATTCCAGCAGAGGAAAATGGAGCCTGTGCGGTTAAGCGAGATGCAGAATTTCCCCAGAGCACGATTGAAGCAGCAACGCTAATGTAGTTCACCGCCGCCGAGTTGCTGCAGCAGTTTGAAACGGGTGTTTTTCAAAGCCCGGTTTTGAGGCGGGAGTTTGTAAGTGATCAGGAATGCTTTTGAAGTTTGACACAACACTTTACTCTCCAGTGTGTCCCCCCCCCACCCTCCCCCCTCCTCTCTAATATTTGGAGTTGAGGGTTTTCAAAAGGGAACGGCCTCCTGAAAAGTACAGCGGGTATCAAGTGATACTCGACACTGTAAAAAAGAAAGAACACTAGCCGGCCCGGCGGAGGAGAAGAGGAGCCGGATTAGTTTCAGTGGGATTAGCACGGGAGTTTGAGCACAATAATGTTCCACATGCTGTTTATAGTTGATATGAACGGTCGAGTGCCGTCACATAGACGGTCGACCTCGGTCATGACACACGCCTCTCTGTATTTACGCAATATTTGATCGTTTCTTTTACAAATTCTTTGCTCTAGCTTATTAACAAAGAGCTGTACACACCTACTTTCTGAAAAGCAAAACATCCTTGTGACAGCTTTGGCTTTTTACCTCTTTCGCAGTCCCACAAGAGTTTCAACACCATGCACACTCCCAAAAAAGCTTTCCTCTCAATTTCCACATTCACCAACAGCGAAGAAGGAGATCCAGCGGCACTTGCTTATTAAAAATGTTTTTTTTGCATATTAAGATTGTATAAAACGTGAGAACAAACAGAAAGACTTGCAGATGCTGTGATGGATTTAGCAAACATTTTGCACTTCCTTGTACTAAAGCTTTAAACTAAAAGTCATTATTTATGAATTATGGATTGTCATTATTTATGAATTGTGAACAACCTTTTACACTCACGCGTGCTCTCCAGCAGACAAATAGTGTCTCCTTCTTGCTATTCGTCTGTGAATAAATAAGTAAAGTATTCAATTCTTTCCTAATGTTCCACTAAAAAGAGAACTATGCAGATCATCCAACAGATGTTTTCGGACAATTTGCCACAATCTTCCACCATCTGGTCACAGTGAAGTCTCGTTTGGTCACAGAGCATCTGACCTGATGACAGGAGCTTCCCACAGTGACGTTGGACGCGTTTGTCACAGACAAACACCCTGAACATGAATCCCCGTCATGCCGTTTAACTGCCCTGACAATGCGCAGTGCTGTTTTGTGCTGTGTTTCGTTATTTTGGGGAGATTTCATAGAAACATGAATGACGGTGTCTGATTCCTTTGGCTGATTATGTTTCAGATTATAATCTGTGTGTCTGACTGTTTGCTTATCTGCCCCCCCCCCCCCCCCCCACACTTCTTATCTTAGTCTGGAAGCAGCAGATGCAGGCCAGTGATGTGACGGACTACGCTGGTCTCCACGCCCCAGGGCGGATGCGGGGTGGTGCTCAGAGCTTCAGAGGCTCCCCCATCCACAGCCCCCCCTTCTCACCATCCCAGGTAGACACAGTGTCCCAGCTCACCTCACCGGAGCAAACAGCATTCAGCTGCTACACAGGAGACCAAACACAGAGAAGATAAAACAAGCATTTTGGACCCCTAGCTTTATGTCAAAACGTGATCTCGATGTCTTGAACCTTTCAAAAACGATGAATTCACGTTCTGCACATAAGAAAAAGATTAATTCCTTTGAAGTCAGCTAAAGCTTCTGTGTTTAGATGACGGTCGTGTAACTTAACTCCATCTCTAGATGTTTCCTTTCTATCTTCCTCGCCGTCTTTAGATGTTTCTGCTCTTGCTCTCACTCCCACTGGGTGCCATGAATGGCCAAACTGTTTACACCAAAACAGAGACGGTAGCCGCACACAGATCATGAGACTGATGTCTGCTGACGTGTGTGTGTGTGTGTGTGTGTGTGTGTGTGGCCTTGTTAGCCTGTTATAAAAACATGTTTTTCACTTTGCCTCTTTCTCCTGTTGTTTCCTGTTTTCCTTTTTAAAGCATGGGAATGTCTACAAAACCAACAGCGTGGACTATCGGGGACATACAGGCAGCCCTGACATTGTCCCCGCCACCCCGGGCTTCCCAGTGTCTCCGCCGACACCCTACGGTAACAGATGATGTCCCAATGTGTCTTCAAGCTGGTGTGTCCGTTATTTGGGAACTTATCAGCTTCCGCTTTCTCTTCCCAGTGAAACATTTCCCAGAGTTTTCCCAGTTCACGACTAGCGGGCAGTGGGAGCAACACAGCTGGACACAAGGTACACTCCCCACAGAGAGAGAGAGTGTGTGTGTGTGTGTGTGTGTGTGTGTGTGTGACCGGCATAATCACTACAGCTTAAAGCCAAACGCTTGAGCTCCTGATTTGCTGCCGGACAGAATTCAAGGGCCGGCTGAAGGGTCCTTTATTCCCGCCCACATACACACACACACACACACACACACACACACACACACACACACACACACACACACACACAGACACACAGTTGGCTGCGATTGGCTGGATATGTGGGTATGGCTCTGTTTGTGGCTTGTCTTGTTTATTATTTTTAGGTTTGAGGTAAAAAGTGCGTAGAGGAGTTGATAAAACGGAGTGGGACGTCCTCTCCGGCCCACGAGGGGACCGCTGCTACTTGATGTCCGCTAATAATAGTTGACGGTAACAGAGGAAGAGACCACCGCGGGCAGGATGTCCACTCACTTCCTGTTCTGAGAGGGAACGGGAGTGGAGGGGAGGGTCTTTTGTTGCTGGGACATCCTGCCGGAGGGGATATGCACCACGCAGCTGCAGGAGAAATGTACTGCAGTGTCAGAAAACTGTCTCTTTGAGACACAGCTGCTGAAAAGTGTCTTTCAGCTAAAGGTTTCTGAACACAAATAGCCTCTAAAATAACGTAATAATAACGAAAATAATGAAGCAGAAAATAACATTAAATAGCATATTTCTTTACTTTAGTGCAAAGACAATAAAAACAAATGTCTAAAAAGAAAGCTCTCATAAATAGTTGTATGTTTCATTGAGTAATGAGGGAAAGTCAATGCATCCTATGCTATTTGATCCTGCTGAAGAAATTTAACAGCTGAAAAGGAGCAGCCGAGGTCCTTCATTTAAGGGGTGTTTATGTTTAAGATGTCAATCAAGTCAAGTTCTAATCTTAAGATTGAAAATATAGTTTATCACGTCAAATAATTGTAACTTACTATAACCATAATGTAACTATAATGTAACTATTTGCTAACAAAACCAAACAACTATATTAATAGTGACATTTTGCTCTGTATTGAAGGCGGATTACTTCACTCTTGTAAAGGGCAGATACACCTGTTTGTTATAAACACCTTTTCCACAACAGACAGGATAGAGAACCGATGAAAGTTATTATTTCTTGTGTAAAGAAAACACATGAGATTATTTTCCCCTACTGGACGGAGAGAAGAATTAACAAAGGACACAGAATAGCGGGAGCTCACCACCACTTTAGGAGGCAGACAACAGTTTCCTGTTTCCCACGTTAAAGGCAGACAATTGTCTGGAAAACAATTCAGATTCCCCATTTAAATTATTCCTACCTAATGTTAGTCATTAGGGTGATCACAGTCTGACCCGAGGCTACTCTGCAATGTGGGGAGTGAGGACTGTGCGCAGCATGTAGCTCCAAAACAACACCACAGATTTGGTTGACATTTGTTCGAAAAAATGTGCTAATGAGAAGATTGGTTCTATTAGCACTTTTCACTATTTCAAACTACGTTAAAAACACCTGGGCAAAAGAATATTCTTTATACAACACAGCACATAACACGTCAATACTAATTTAAAACTGTAAACTTGTCAAATTTGTTGCATGGAGCATTAATTGGAAACCCTGCTTGCGTGAATGGAATGCATCTAACTAAATAAGAGACACAGTCTACCTCCAGTACATCCTTAGAGCTGGACGGCAGCCTGGATGACCGAGCGCAGCGCTTCTTTCCTTCCATCAGAGGATCCCGGTCTGATCCACGGCTCCACTGGTCTGCGTTGACGGGTCCTGGGGCAAGATTCCTAATTTGCTCCCGTGGCTCCAGCGTGTGAATGTTTGAACAGTTCGAGTCCTGATGGGCAGGTGGCATCAGTGTGTGAATGGGTGAATCATGATTGTTGCATTTTTTTTTGTATGGAAGTACAGTGCGTTTACCATTTACTTACTAACAGTTCAAGGCCCACAGCGAGAACAGTAACTAAAGGTGTAGATTGGATCCGTCGATCATCAAATCGAAAGCTAAAGGAAAGCGTCTGCTCACCTGCTATCACGTTTTTGCGTTAGGTCTGACTTTTGCAACTATTATCACTGTGGCTGTTTGAGGAGAGACGGAAGACGAAATCAAAACGATGGGCCGCTAGAAGCGCTCTGCAGATGTTGGTGATGTGTCCCAACGAGATTTTAGGTAAAACTCTCCTAGTTGTTGCACAAGTTGAAGTCAGAAATGTCCCATGCACTAAACTGTTGGGTGAGACACACATGTCATTTGAGAAAGCACGCCATTGCAGTGCTGCCGTCCTCCATCGGGTTTGAATAGTAGTGAATCCTTCGGAAGCAGCAAGACGGAATTGTAAATCAACATCTTTCAGTCTGACGCCTGCAGCCTTTATTTCTGTTCCAAGCCATTGCTAAGTTGCCATCACCCAAAAGACAAACCCTGCTGCTGCCTCTGTGCTTGTGTACTTTCATTTCCTAGTGAAGGCCAAGCGCAGCCCTAACACGTTACATAATAACATTTCCTTTGTGTACTTGCGGCCGGATTAAAATAAACAGCCATAAACGCAGAAGCTCTCAGCCGGAGAAATTCCGTTAGTAGCTGAGGCTTCAGACAAACACTTGACTGTTTGAACCTTCAGGGGTCAAAGGTCAGGAGAAAGTGCAGAGGAGCGTGCAGAGAGCACGGGGGGGGGGAACGTCTCCTCCTCCTTCAGATAATTGGATTTGTCGTCAGTGATGAACGAGAGACGACGCATCCTAAAAAGATTTCACGGCTGCGTCCTGTTTCCAGTCTCCACGCTGCGCGCCAGCCACCTCAACGCAATTCAGTCAAAGGGCTTCATGGAGGAATCTGTGGTCAGACACATGCCAGGAGACACGGCCTGTGTGTGTGTGTGTGTCTGCATGCCTTTGTCTCTGTGTTTGTGGTGAGCAGATGGTGGGAGTGGACACACATGCCTTGACAGAGAAGCCATAGAGACTCCCCCCTCCCCCCTAACACCACCAACACCACCACCACCACCTCCGGCTCCTCTCTGGTCCATAAAAGGCCACATATGACCTCTGACCACTGGAGTCCATTCTGATTGGGTGAAAGTGGCCCAGCAGGAACAATGCTCAGTGGTCAGTGAGAGGAAGAGGGAGGGAGGGTATGTAGACATGCACGCATGGAGGGGAGGGGGAAGAAAAATCCTCTCCCTCTTTTCCCTCCCTCCATACAAACCCAGAAGTGAAGCTGTGTCACAACAAGCCAGGACCAAACGGGGAGCTTTCTTTCTTTCTTTCCAATCTGGGGGAGGAGGGGGGGGGGGGCGACGCAAGGAATTGGGGCATGACGGCGAAACGATCCGGCCACTGAAAGAAAAGGCCGGCGGGCTCCGATCACCTTCAAGGGGACGAGGAGAGGAGGAGATTCCGGTCACGGGGGGAGGCAAAACATAGCAGGAGGAGATTGCGAAAGGAGTGACCCTACAACAGGAAACCGGAAAATATATAACGGGATACTTGACAGAGAGTGTCACATCATGACTGCGTCCCTCGGTATGTACGAGCATCCACGTGTGTGTGTGTGTGTGTGTGTGTGTGAATGCTTTGTGCGACTGAATTTTGTGTTCAAGTCTCCCAGTGTGTCCAAGCAGTTTACTCCCTTCACCTCTCCCCTTCATCCTTGCATTCTCGATTGTTTCCCCTCCTCTCAGCGGGACTTTTCCTGTTTTCCTGCTCATTCTCCCACTTGTTTATGAAGCGTTATCTCCTGTAACCTCCTGGGAGTTTTAAGGAGGGCCGGCATGCACAGAAACACTTCACATTCACCTCCCGACAGCTGGTGGAATTTTTCTTGTTAGATGCCTTTTTTTCCCCGTCTTTTTTAGACACAACCCCCCCCCCATCCAAACGTTGTTTGTCTCTGTGCCTGCAAATACTTCTTTTTGGCCGTGGACAGCAGTACATGTGCAGCGCCTCTGACAACTCGCACTCGGCGGGATGATGAGAGGGTTTGTTCCACTGCGTCGCTTATGATCTCATCCTGGTTAAAGGCTATTTTGGTGTCCAATGTGCAGTCAGGCAAGACTGATATATTGGTGGTTAACCAATGTAACCCCCCCCCCCATTCATTTCTGCAGAAGCCTTTATAGATTCAGGTTTTTTTTTCTTGCTTCCCACATCTCCCAGATATGTCATACATGATAAAACCACATCTTGCTCAGCCACGAATGAAATGTTTCTAAAACATTCGCAGTCACTTCATTCAAAGCTTACAAACATTGGAAGACTGGCACGTATTTCTATTGGTTTTATGCTGTGCTCAGTTAAATGATGTATTTCATGTGTCACATTCATGAATGAATGAAAGTTATTCCACCAAAATTAGCATTACCAAACCGTGAATGTGCATATATGTATTCTGGATCAATTCAGACAATAAATGGCAGATTGATCAATAATTCAACTCCACAATAGGAGCGTTTGAACGGTGTTGAAAGTCGATGATCAGTTATTGGATGTGCTGCTTGAAAGCAGCTTTTTGTGTGAGAAACATTCGTCTCTCACAGGAAGTCGGGGGGCAAAAAGAGGCCGAATTGCTTTCAGCCACGAGGACGGAAAATGTTGACAACACAGCAGACAGAGGGCCAGTTCAGGGTGCAGAGACCCAAGTGGAAAGTTCTGAGCGTTACTCTGTGTGAGACGCACCAGAGCATCAGTCCATTTTTATGAAGTCCACGTTTTCACATTTTAACACCCAACCAAACTTTATGATCACAAATGTGAAACGGTGCGAAGCTGAGCATCTTTTTTTTTTTCATTTCTTCCTGGTTAAAACCGCAGACATGTTTGGACCCACCAGGAGAACTACTTATGGTCCATGATCACTTCCCCAGATGGGACACGGCTGAGGAAATTCGCTTCAGCTTCAAAGCGTGATCCAATATCTGGGACAAGTCTTCCATTTGATATGATGAATACTAGTATTCATCTTGATCCTTCATATCTCCACATCTGATTGTTCACACTGACGGGCTGTGTGACGGATGAAGAGAGTGACCGCGGTTACTCTTCACCTAGTTTCTCCCTCCTCTCGTCTGTTGTTCTTCACTCCCTCGTCAGCCGCCTCGTAACATCGGCCTCTCCTCTGCCACTCCGCTGAGTCGATTAAAACCGCCCGTTCCAGCAGGGGAATCTGATTTACAGATGACCGCCTACTAGTTTGACCTCGTTTCAAGGAAAAGTCTCTGTTTCTGTGTAGGAGGGGAGACAGCGCAGGGTCTGAGGCTGATGGCATTCTGCTGCAGTAACTAGTGCCACCGAGGAGAGAGCTGCACGTCCTCAGGCAGAAATCCCTCCAGGATCAGATAACTACCTGGTCATGGAACCCACAGGGCACCACCTGGCCTGCACCGGACAGCAGACGGACACAGTGGGGGACTATCTGCAGGAGAAAGCTGGAGCATTTAGCAGCTGAAGAATTCGACATGTTGCTGGAAACTCGAGCTAAACATGAGGGCAACGCTGGACAGCCACGACGAATACAACGAAATAATATATTGGGTGTTTTTCCGGTGTTAGTGGTGTTCATGCTGCAAAGAATGTAACAATAAATGCAGTTTTAAGACACTTGCTGAGGATTTTGTACATCGCCTATTAACTATAGGAATTTCTGTTCCTGCTGATACAGTAGCAACATTGTTTGTGTAAAAGGAAACGACATTGCGAGACCTCATCTGCACCGGCTTTACGCTACTTTTGGAACTTGCAAAAAGGGGAATTGAGTTTTGACACCGTCTACCCATTTTCATGCCTGCGTTTAAGTGGTATCCATCATTTCTGTTTAACATGGATCATCAATAAGAACTCATTATTACTCGATAACTCGAGTAATGCCCTCCGTGTGCCCACGGATCACAGCAGGTGTTCCTACTCCCTCTCAGAGTGGCTCCTCAGCTCCCTCCTCACTTTATCCCCCTCAGAGGCCGAGGCCTGTGATCGCTGTGAACAGCTGTAACGTGTTGTGCACATTCAGACCTGTCTAACGCCACTCTGCATGTGTGCGTATGTGTGCGTGTGTGTGGGCGCACAAAGTCCTTGCCCTCACATTCCAGTGGTCAGCAGGGAGTCGGCAAACACACTGTTGTGCCGCATAACTCCCCGTGCATCACCGCGTGCATGCGCGTGTGTAGGCTCACCCTCCTCTCCGGGGCGCCGCGGCGCAGGGAGCAAACGTTTGGATGCGTGAGAGGGGAAGATAAAGAGAGAAGCGTTTCTTTGTCGCAACACAACACTGGGGCTCTTTAGCTGCACCGAACACCGAGCATGGGCAGTTTGCATGTTCCCCTGTTTTCATGTGCCCTGCCTTGCCATTCCATTCTGTTTATGCAGCCGCCTCAGTGGTCTGAGGAGAGAAATGTGAAGATATCGCTGCGGATGACCTCACGGAGGTTTGACTTATTAACAGGATTATCTCCATATAGAGCATGAAGGAATGCGCGCAGTTTCAGCCCGAGCCTTGTAACCGTTTCTCTCCACTATCAGGAAAGTGTGTGTTTATTATGTGTGTGTGGGGGGAGGGTGGGGTGGCTGTTGGCTGGTGGAGGCTGGCAGTTGTGCCCACATGGGTCTCTGACATCTGGAATGGGTTTTGCGCGGTTCGACCCAAACTGAAGAGGCTTTGTACTCGCTCAGAGCTGCGCATGTGAGGAGAAACCAGTGGACAGAAAGGAAAAAAAACGTTTGAAAAAAATTAAACTGCCCGTTGAGTCTCACTTGAATTTTTGCATTGAACGATGTGGAATGTTGAATGTTGTCCAAACAGAAGCACCGGTACAAGTGCTTTGCCCAAACATTTGAGGTCTAAGTCACAAATGTGTTTCCTGGTTTATTGAACTGGGATAGCGCACATTAATAAAAGCCAGGGCAAGTTGTCCAAATATACCTGTTGTTTCAGAGAATGCAACATACATACATATGTGTTATGTTCATCTGAAGAAGCCAAAGCAAAGAAGATAGTATGACATTATTTCAGATCCGCTGCTTTCCCCCGTCTCCTTTTACCACGACCTCTCCCGTACCTTAAGTGTTATATCTCGTCACCGCGGCGACGAAGCACCACCAACCCAATGAAGCACTTATTCTCACCCAACTAATTACCCAGACAGTTATCTTTAATCTCTAAGTGTTTATGCCTCACCCTAAGCAAAGCTCATTCATGGCATTGTAAGATTGGAAACCAGTTGTGACTGGACCGGCAGAATGACGATCTCCAAGTGGCACGTATATGTGGACTTGTTTAACCTGGACATATGTCTAATTCATTGGAAGAGATTATATGCCATTCAAGCTTTCGGTGGGGGCTCGTTTCCCTTGGGACCTATCGCAGTTCAATACCCTGACTTCCTTGTGGCACATTATCAGTTTTAACAAGGATAAGAGAAGACGCTCTTATTTTGGAAGGGCGGGAGCACAGAACCTTGAGTGGAGCTGAAGACGAGTGGCTACGTATTCTGTGCCGCCTGGTTACAGCAGGTGAAAGGTGTATCGGAGTGTGATAAAGACCGGCGGAGTCTCACACAGCTGGAGTCTGGTCAGAGGTCAGAGGTCGGGGTGAGGTCAGCGGATTTTGCCACAGATGTGGTGCAGTCGTGTGATGAAGTGGATGAAGTGATAAACCACAGTGGGGACGCTCAGCCGTGGGAACAGAAAGAGACACGTCCCCAGAGAGACAAGAAGTGACAGGGACTGTGGGAATGTTTGAGGAATCCTCAGTGGATTCATGCTGTTTCCTCCAAGGAGCAACAACTTGAGCTATGGATCAAATCAGAGTGTAACCTGCTCAGTGCTCTTGACCTTTAACCCCCCAGAGAGCAAGTTGAGTGTGGAGTGGCTTTGTGTGGTGTAATATAATAATATATAGAAATATATAATATGACAATCAGTTAAAAAATGTGAAACAAAAACTCCTTCTCAAGCAGAAGTACTTTAATAGTTTAGATTCAAAGACGTTTAATCTACAATGTAATTAGTAGCCTCGGGAAAGTCAAAATGAAACTACTGTAAACTAGTACAGTAAAAATGATAAAAACTAAAACCTCTTGTGGTAACTTGTGGATATCCGATCCACCGTACATAATGTGGTCACCATAGAAACGAGTGTAGGGAACATTCAGCCGTGGGAAACCATTGAACCACAAACAATGAATCATTAATGGAGGATATGAAGGAGTACAGGTCCTTTACTTTGATAAAACTAGGTGCGCCAAAATGTGACAATAACGTACATTGTCAATTTAAGTGTCGTCCCACTTGAGTGGCTCAAATTCCATAAAAATCAAAAATTAATTTTATTTCATTTATCACAGCGTGCGTGATTTTAAAATCAAAATTGAACATTCAGGATCATCAATGAATTGATTTAAAAATCAGAAGTAGACATGCTCTCTTTTCAGTGTGTTATATCATTATACAGCCATATATTATTTCATTTTCATTTTAAAGTTGGTTGAGATGGAGCTTACTGTTGGGTAGATGAATCTATAACAGTATATGATCGTTAATACGGAGAATATAAGCTACGTAACAACTAACTATAGGTTTATAATAAATGTAAATGCATGAGTGTCATTTTTCCTTCTGGAATCCTACTACAAAACCTTTGTGTGCGTGTGTGTGTGTGTGTGTGTGTGTGTTTCTTCAAAGTCACGGACACCTCACGTGAGATAATGTAATACACGCAGTACAATACGATCCCAAAGGTGAGTCCAAACTCCTCAGTCGCAGAGTACTTGAATGGAGGGAAGGAGCGGAAGAGAAGAGGGAGGGGCGCAGGGGTGTGTGTGTGTGTGTGTGTGTGTGTGTGTGTGGGAGGGGGGGAGTGTTTGGCGCCGGCCGAACAAGGAGCTCTTTATGACGATCGACTCTTTGCGCGGTGACTCATCGTGCTTCAGGCCCTGTCCTCGTGTCTGCTGAATGACACGCTGTGTTGTCAGAATGTCGGCGTTGGGGTGTTGGGAGTGTCCCCCCCCCATAGATGAAACTGAAGTATGAAAATGTAACATTTAGTTTTCTTCACATCTTTCTGAAACAAACCCTGGGTAAATATTGGTTAAATCAACAATGAGATATTTGACAGAAACCCCGGTGAGGTTCTGCTCCGCTGATCCACGTTGATGGCTTTATAATCCAAACAAAGGTCGGGTCTCAACGACGGCCAACAGGGCAGTTATAATAGCGCATGGAACAAAGTTGTGTGCAGTGCGCCTGGTCAGCATCTGATATTTGAGAAAAGGCCTTCTTTTCACCAGAATCCCGGAGTTTCCTGGACGGTGTGAACCACGCCGGCGGCGCCACAGAGGGAGAGCTGTTCAGGTCCGAAGGGTCGGTTCCTCCTGCTTCCCGTCAGAGGATCTTTGGCTCCATGTGCTCCATGTCACCAGACGTCAGCCCCCTCCCACACACGGACAGGTACACGCGTCCTACACACACTGCACGTGTGAGGGCCGACATGTCTGCTCAACTACAGCAAATCAAACGGTGGATAAATGTTCCTCCCATTTCCTATCTGAATGTCTTTTAACTACTATTTATTTTGTTTGGAAATATGGACACAATTTGGTATTATTTGGTCTTTCAGCTTTTACTCCTTTCCTGCAGCTCCACACCTCCTCCTGTGTGGCAGGACGGTCCAAACTCCCTGAACTCTCCGTATCGCCTCCAGCCCTCACCTCCACTCTCCCTCAGCACTCCCGATGCCCACAGCTCTCCCCGGGGGGGTCTGAGAGGCCTGGGCGGAGGTTCGGGGGTGCGCAGGGAGACCGGCAGCAGTGACTTGTCCTCGTTGCTGTTGGGGAACGGCGGCCTGGATCGCAGCCTGCTGGAGGCCGTGGAGGGCCTCGGGAGTCTGAACCTCGGGGGAGAGGGGGGCCTCCCTCCACTGCTGCCTGAGAAGAGGAGATGGGGCGAGGGGGGGGGGGAGGTCCGCTCTCGCTCGCTATCTCCTAAGCGGGTTTTCCAGCCTCTCACAGCGGCAGCAGTCTCAGCATTCCCTTCTCCTCCTCAATGACCCCCGACTCCCTCAGGGCCCTCAGCGGGGCCCCGTCACCTGGAGCAGGTACACTCTCGCAGCGGGTTCTGTCCCGATGTCTGTCCGGCTTCAAGTAATGCGTCTGTGTCCATGTGGGGCTTTGGGTGTGGGAGGGGGGGGGGGGGGGTGACTCCTTTTAACCGAATCGATGGTTTGTAATGATGAAAAAAGAAGATTAGTTTTGAGGACCTTTTCAGCAGCTTGTCGTTTTTAGAAACATTGACTCGCTTACGGTTTGAGGTCATAGATCTGAAATGCTGAGAATAAAGTTGTCTTATTACAGGAACTAAGTCAATTTGACATTGTACATATTTTTTTCTGGAAAACAACATGTAATATTTGGAATATAACTTACTACCTTGTACTCCGTGTACCGCTTGCAGTGTATAAAAAACACTTTTCAGTGGTTTTACCAGCACAAACAACATTGCTTGCATATAAATAGGGTCGAGGGACATTCGTCATTTGGGTTTACTGACAATTAAACGTTTCTCTCTGACTATATGCTCCGTTCTGTCCTGTCATACTTGTGCTGAAGCCAGTCTGAAACCTAACGTAGACTCTTCATCTGTGTCCTGCAGACTTCGGCAGCAAGCACGACACTGTGAAGTTTGTTCAGGACACTTCCAAGTTCTGGTACAAGCCCGACATTTCCAGAGACCAAGGTAAATATTGCCGTTGGACACGTTATTGCAGCGGACACTTGCGCGCGGATATTAACACGCACCTTGTGCAGGTTGAACGAGGTGCTTCTAACTTTAGCGTGTCTCTGCTCCTACCTACTGAGCAGCCATCGCAGTGCTAAAGGACAAAGAGCCGGGCTCGTTCATTGTCAGAGACAGCCATTCCTTCCGAGGGGCCTACGGGTTGGCCATGAAGGTGGCCACGCCGCCTCCGTCTGTGGTACAACAGAGTAAGAAAGGTGGGCCACTGCGCTTTACTTCTTTTTCTGACGGGATAAAATGCATATCAACAGCCTTTAGCGGGGATTTCTAAACACACCGGTGGGATTGTGATGTTAGATTTTCTAAACCACTGATTAAAAAGACGCAAAGATAAAGATTACATCCACCCGTCAGTAACAACATATGTATCCAAATATGCCAAAATGTATCCACGTGTGCAGATACGTTTCCTGTGTTTCTGCAGTGGGGGACCTGTCCAATGAGCTGGTGAGACACTTCCTGATAGAGTGCACGCAGAAAGGAGTTCGTCTGAAGGGTTGCCCCAACGAGCCCTACTTTGGTGAGGATACCGAATCTTCAGAGAGTCTTGAACAACGTTTCCCATTCAGTTCACCCAACAGCTCATTCTAATGCATATCCCCTCAAAAATACATTTGATGGAATAAAAATAACTGGTTCTTGAAGACATTCATTATTGCACAGGGCTTCTTGTCAGCCGAGTGGAAAATACGAACAACGGCTTTACTGAGCCGTAAAACCAATAAGGCCAATGAGCTTCAAAGAGCAGTAAGAAGCGTGTTGCCCTTTGGAAGAACAGCATGCACTTAGCACAAGAGTTCTCCACCAAACCAAGTCCAGAATATTTGTGCTGTTGCCAGTCACACACCGAGCTGACGCCGCGTCGCCCCCCAGTGGTCAGCGTGGGGAGGTGCAGCTGCCTTCGCTGTCCATCATGCGTCTGGATAGTGGGGCTCTGTGCCAAATGCTCATTTTGTGTTTTTGTGTTTTTCCTGCCAGGGAGTCTCACGGCTCTGGTGTGTCAGCACTCCATCACCCCTCTGGCTCTGCCTTGTAAACTCATCCTGCCGGATAAAGGTAAAGAACACGAGACCGCACAGCCCAAGAGGTCCAAACCAACAGTTCATTACTTTTAGAAAGTACTCTGTGCCTGATCTATTATAACTAAACAACGTTCTCAAAAGAATCAATCAGAAGAGAGATAAAGCTCACGTACATTTAATAATTGGACCGTTTAACTGCAGAAAAGAACTTTACCAAGACAGCGATGTAAAAACCATACACTCGATCACAACCTCAAGGCCTCAAATACACAAACATAATCTGGATATTTGTTTTTTTCAACCTCAGACCCAAAGTTTGTCTTGCCTGACTTCCCCGACTCGAGTCTTGTTGATGGTATTTTCTTATTGTTCATAGATGCATTTTCCATTTTAAGTTAAAACTGAAATCAAATTGAAATCATGATTCCCAGCCTTACGTGTGCATGTGTGCGTGTGGCTTCCAGGTGCAATTTGTGCGTTTCCCGCTCAGTAAACTCTCCATGTGTCGTGGCTTACAGACCCGATGGAGGAGCCCAGTGACTCTCCTCCACAGACGGCAACCAATTCAGCGGCGGAGCTCCTCAAACAGGGAGCAGGTGCAGAAACAACCAACGCACACGCTGACAAACCTCCCAAATCTCACAGATGTGTTGACGTGACGTTCATTTATTATGCACACGAGGATAAGTGTGTTTGTTTACTGCTCTTTGGCTCAGCGTGTAACGTGTGGTACCTGGGCTCTGTGGAGCTGGAGTCGCTGACGGGTCATCAGGCGGTCCAGAAGGCGACCACGCTGACCCTCTCCGCGGACCCCCCCCCGGCCTCCACCGCCGTCCACTTCAAGGTGTCGGCGCAGGGGATCACGCTCACCGACAACCAGAGGAAGTGAGTGGGAGTCCTTTTAATGTGGGAGGGAATCCACGCACAAACACACACACACAAACGCGGCCTCTGTTTGTCCCTTCAGGTTGTTTTTCAGGAGACACTACGCGGTCAACACCGTCATCTTCTGTTCTCTGGACCCGCAGGGCAGGAAGTGAGTATCACATACTGAAAGTCATTCATATTGACATTTAGATAAACAGCACATCTCCTCACAGGATGCTGATTCCTCTTCAAATGACGATCTGATCGCGCCTGCAAGATGCAGTAAAACGTTTATACCAAGTCGTTAATGTGACCAAGTTGTAATTATCATTAGGCCACCAACTTCATAACACTAAAGGAGATTTTAGATTGAGATATCAGTTCACAGCTGGAGGGCTTTGAAAAGAAATCACATCACATATTGTATTAAATGTATTAAAAGTGTGACAGTGTATATTATTATTTGGTAGGTCCTAGTCTGACCATATTTCAAAGGACTGTCTTTTATATTTATTATACTAATATTAAAGCCTATATGTGATGCATAAATGTAAGCCTATTAATAGTGTGATACCTTGTGTTATTCCGTCCCAAACAGATGGACAAGAGGCAGCGGTTCCACTGCAAAGTGAGTGCCTTTGCTTCATCGTGTGTATAAAACAATACATATTTTGTTACTGAACAGCTGATCATTCTGAGAAAGTCAACTAAATATCTTAGTTTTGAAGCAATTGGCCAGATTAGAAGTCGGCGTTTCAGCACCTAATATATACATATAATATTAAACTGACTGAAGAGGGAACTGAAGGTTCACTTTATTTAGTGAAGTAAGGCTGGTTAGATTGAATTCATGTCAATACTTTGCTACGCTGCACTATTTTCATGACACATTTAAATTACAGTGTGAATTATTAAGAATTGGCAGGAGAGACATAAGAAAAAGAGTGAGATGCAACGGAGGTCCTCGGACATTTGCACTTGTTGGTTTGTGCCACTACAAGGATGCCCAACAAGTCAAACATGTAACATACTACAGCTAGGTTTTTTTTTTTTAACACATGGAGCACAGACATTTATAACATTTATTTTGTTGCAGGATCGGTCTGAGAGTTTGTTTTATTTGCCAGAAAAACGTTTTTCCATTAAAACAGTAACTACAAAGCTTTTACATTGACACCCTCAAGCCTGCAAAGAAGTTTTGATTAAAGGGAGTCACAGAAATTCTACCTGCTTACACATTTTGAAATAAGTCAATGCAGTAGCTCCTCAAAGATTATTCCTTTCGGTTTGTGTCCCTTTCTTCCAGGATCTTTGGATTTGTCGCCAGGAAATCTCAGAGTGAGACTGAAAACATTTGCCACCTGTTTGCTGAACACGACCCCGAGCAGCCGGCCAGCGCCATCGTCAACTTCGTCTCAAAAGTCATGATTGGGTCGCACAAGAAGTGAGTGAAGAAAGTCACCGCAGGCCGAAGAGCCTGACCTGGGGATCTACTTCCGACCCCCGACATTGTAAGAATACGAATGTGGATCTAAGGAAGTGAATAGACAAACTATGACCCCACACACTCCACCGCCTGGTCCTGCTGGTCAGTCCTAACAGAGGAACTTTAGTGGTTTTCTGTGACTGCGCTACGAGATGCCGCCACCAGGGGGAGCAAAGACCGTGTGACGTTAAACTCACCCGCAGGAGGCTTTAAGATGGATCCTTAGTCTGACTGAACCTCCAAACGTAGTGTAAATGTACTATATTATACCAACTTTACTTTACACAGTCTAAAAAACTCAACACATTTGCTTTTGATCAAGCCTGGAGAATATCTAATATTCTGCACATGAACATTTTTTTGAAGAGTCCAAAAGCTTTTTATTTTTGTGTAAACCAGGTATCGAGACACAGGCCCTTTTGGTATGTTAAGACAAAACCCACGATATCGTGACAGGACAAAGCCAGTAATGTGTTCGCCCTGTGCCTGAGATGGATTTATTGTGTTTAGAGTATTTATCCCTTTTTACAGATGTGGAAAAGTTATTTTGCCTAAAAACACTTGTCATATATTTTTGTATATTCACATACTGTACATTAGGTTTAAAAGCGGTCAACCCAAGAATTTATAAGTTTATTTCACATATTGTTGAAGTATTTACATACCAGAAAGATACTACATAAGCTGCCCATGTGTATTATATGTATTACTAATATGTTGTAGATGTTAATATGTTCCTTTTACAGTAACTCAATACATATTTATGTACAATTATTTTGCCGTGAAAAATGTCATTCCAATTTTCTCTATGAAGAGATCAAATAGTCACTGTGGGAAAAGTCGCGCCTCAGCATTATTTCCTTTGACATCTTCCTCTGTTCATCCGTTCATCTCTGTTGATCATTTAGTATCTCTAATTCTGAGATAATATTAAAGCGTCGGTGGGGCAATTTCCCCCCAAAACAACACGTTTTCTTTTTTACTTCCAGTGGTCTCCGGCCTCCCAGATCGTTACGTTTCATTTGACCATGTTTCATTCTTGTGATGAGCACAAGTTAATGTGGATTTATAGAAAATAGAAAGAAAAAGCCACGTGCCACTCAAATGACATCAACTCTCCTCCTAATTGCTATTTGCAAATGAGTGATTATTGTTACCCTGACACTTTGTGGATTCGCACAAACAAAAAGCATGTTAGCAGTTATTTGGGGCAAAAACAAAGTAAGGCTCATCGTATACAAATGGCCTCGATGCTGTCGAATCACACAAGAGATTTGTCCGGGTTTTAAGATATCTGTCCTGTTTTTGCCATAAATCTCCACTCTGGTGTAATGAGGAAGAATGGCATTATTTGTTTTCATTATAATGAAATAATGATAAAACCAAAACCAGCATTGTGCTAGTCCATCGCTCATGCTGTATACATCCAGCTTTGGTACACACACAATGCATGTTGGCACAATCGATTTTTTATTGGCTTTGTTCCTCCTGCTTGCTTGATAAGTAAGAGTTCAAAACAAATATTTCACGTCTACAAACAAGATGTGACAGAATGTGCCGTTGAGGATTTTGTGGTGAGCTGACCCTTTAAAATCTAAAGTTGTAGTTCACCGTTTTGCTAACAGATGGCAGTAATCCGCCACCAAATTTCCCCTCGTCATCCTGAATCCAGGTACTGACTAGTTAAGCTCTCACTAAACTGCACTGAACTTAAAAATACCTTAACATTTCTTAATGTAACAATGTTTTAGTCATTTTCTTCCTTCTCACGTTCATTCTCAGGCTAGTTTTACACCGAGAAACAGTTGTAGATGGAGCAGAGCAGGTCTCCACATGCAGGAAGAACCACCCTCATGAATAAACATGGCAATGTCAAAGTATGTCCACGCTCGTGTGTGTGTGTGTGTGTGTGTGTGAGAGAAGCATCCAGGCTGCGTGCACATGACCCACACAAAAGGTGGCTTGAGCGCCTGCCAGGCCTCCAGGTTCCTCACAGATCTGCTGATCCGTCCGTCTCGGGCCTCTGCGTGCTGCTGGAGGCTTTTAGAGGCCGGCTCATCGGATAGCGCTTTGTGAATGAGGCTTTCTTCGGCCCTCTGGTCTCTGCGGAGGGAGCTGAGGAGCTGGAAGTGGGACAGACAGACATGTGGACCGATGGAGAAAGAGGGAGTGCAATGGGGAAGGGGGGGATTTAGTGATGGGTGTGTGTGTGGGGGGAGTAACGGACTCCCGGTGGTGTTGCGGGGGTTGTCGGTGGTGGATGACCTCACCATTACGGGGGACTTTCCCACAGCCTGCACACAAAGAAAGCCGTCAAAAAGGTAAAAGGGGTGAAAAAGAATAGAAATTTAACGCAGTGTGTAAAAAAAAAAAGAAGGGAGGCAAAGGGTGAGGTTCTTGTGCAAGGGGGAGTCGCCTTCCCCTTTCAGCCAGTCGGAGCTATTTTGGGTTTGATAGCAGCTCGGAAAGGACTGAGAGAGAGTCTGCTCACGGCAGCAACCTACGGTTCGGCTCCTGTCCTCTTTCTGCTGAGTCAGCTGCCGCCATTTTGCCCCGAAGCAGGACCCCTGCATTCACTTCCTGTCAGGCGGGCCGCTGGTTTTCACCGCCGCCGCCGCCGCCGCTGGACGACATCACATTCTTGGCATCGCTCGCTCCGAAGTGCTGTTTGGAAATGGAGAGCCGGGCTTCCGTTGGGGGATGCCTCCCTCGCAGAGTCCCTCTCAGCCTCTGATCCCCGGCCTCCGCTCACTTTATTTGAGTTAGCTATTTAAAGGCCGGGCTAAGTGCGCTGCTGCTGCTGCTCCGGCTGCTGCTCCGGCTGCACAGGGGAGCAAACACGCACTCCATCGCACACACCAGAACCACAACAGCCCGCAAATAAACCCTGCGGGGCCGACTGCGACCCGGCCGACCGGCGCTCACATCTTCTTTTGTTTGGTCATGTGGGGCTTTGTTGGTGCGCGTGAGATGCTTCTTATGTGTGAGTTAAGATATACAGCACAACATACATTAGTGCAGTGTAATTGTACTGTTCATTACAGGTGGAAACATTCCGTGTACTTCTGAAATACATCTGTTTATTATTATTTCAGTTCAGTTAACTTACGGTTAAATTCTGTAAAAGGTAAAACTTTGTAATTTATTTGCATTTGTGGTATTTTTACACTGAATTGTTGTAGCCATTCTGGGCACTTTTCCCAATACTATATTTGATGTACTACTCTATAGTAGATACTAACCTGCACAGCACAAAAGCATCCTAAATAGAGTATCATGCTTTTCTCTTATAAAGTTAGCAAGCTGATCTCTGTCATCAAACTATGAGACCTTCTGTCAAAAATACCAATAATTAATTTAGAGGAAAATATACAATACACAATATTTCTTGAATATGTATATTTGAACATTTGATTTGTATATATTACACAACTTCAGGGACTTCAAAGAGTTGTAAAAAGAGGACACAGAATAAGCCACAGTGTGTATTAGACTGTCAACTAGAGGATTAAGATGATTATTCCACATGAAGAAAGACAACACGATCTAAAGAAGTTACATCATCAATGCATTTTCGGTTAAAAGTTAAAACATCTATACGTCTCAGTGTTTTAAAAATATCTACTTATTTGTTACATATGTTGCATCACTGCTGTGAAATCACACAAATAAAGTAAATTCCTGTTCTGAGTTCCTCTTTGAGCAGGTCTGTCAAATGGAAACGTTACATCTGTTAGAAATGTGAATTTCAATGTGATGCAATGTGTCCGGTAAAGGAACCTGACATATACTGTCATGATAATACACAAATACACTTTGCGTATTTACTCGTATGAGCATGAAATCAGGATTTATCAACATCAGCTCTTTTCCCGATTTATGTGTTTGGCTCTTCAAGCAGCAGTGACGCATCAACGCTCCACAGAAATATGGTTCACTCCACAGCAAAAGAAGCACACACACACACACACACACACACACACACACACACACACACACACACACACACACACACACACACACACACACACATACTGACTCTGATTTCTGGTCTACGTGCACTCAGGCACATGCTCAGAAAGCAGCGCCTTTAGGCCGTTCTGTTCAATGCATTGTCTCTGTATAACTGCCTGAAACGCACACACACACACACACACACACACACACACACACACACACACACACACACACACACACACACACAAAAGGCCCTGGGTACTTGGGTATCAGCGTCAGTCTTAATGAACCTGTCTCCAGGGGGCGGGGCCGGGGTAATGTCTCACACAAAGAGCTCCCGCTGGGCCGCCGAGCCAACCAGAGGCCAACAGATTAACTTGAATTACATCAGCATCACCACAATACACCTAATGAGAGAGGGATTATGTGTGTGTGTGTGTGTGTGTGTGTGTCTGTGTTGGCTCTCATGCCATTGCGTCACTCATTTTTTGCTGATTCAGTGCGCATTCAGCCGCGCAAGCCGACGCGTTTTTTTTTTTTTTGACGGACACATTTAGCATACTTAAAAATGTTCTAATCAATAAATCAACAATATCGAATATGACTATGTTTGATGTGACAGGTCGTCAGAGGACGTCAGACGTGGATGAACACAAGCTAATCAGATAGCATGACAGCACGCCGTGGGACATCTAATCAAATCACTGAGCTTTGGTTTGCAAACACAAACGGAGGTCCCCTGAGTGAAAGTGTGTTTGAACCCTCCACCTCCTCCTGCTCCTAATTGTATGTCCTTTGCTCAGACCCTCAGAGAGGGAGAAGTGCACAAAGACATGGAAAGAATTTCTTAAAGTTTGCTACGTGTCATACAGACGCCAAACGCTGCCTCGTGCAATCGTATATCATTGATCATCTGACTGCTGCCGTTTCTTGCTTTGATAGTGATCACTTTGGTTGGTTTGGTGTCGCGTCACGGAAAGAAGACCAGAGTTGAGTAAAGTCTAATTCCTCTTTAATATTACAGAATTTACCAGTTTTCTGTGTGAATTTAGTTTGGATTGAGGGAGGCTGTAGTTGTGGTTTCATGTTTCAACTTATATTTCTTCCATTTAAATTTTAGGCTTCTTTTCTATTTCATTTCCTGTCTGTCATCTGGATTCGTCTGCGCACAACTTTACAGAACGTGGGAGCAGAGTAGTGGGCGTAGACGTGCCTCATGTGGAGAAAGACACACGCTGCCTGCGCTGTTTGCATCCAACCCTCTGTTCCGCTTTCTTGCTCTTTTCCCTCGGTGCCCCATCAGTGTTCTCATTCAGCAATTTCTACCTCTAGACTTTTGGGATGCCTGACCCAGATTTCTTTCTTTCTTTCTTTCTTTCCGTCCCCCCCTCTGGCCCAGTCCGCTTTTTAGGGGGTTTGCTCAGGGAGGGACTCCAGTCAAATCAACCAACAAAAAAGAAAATCAATGAACTGATTAAATGAGGAGAGAACTGGTAGGTAATCTCTGGGTGGAGGGAAAGACGGTCGCTCTGGGGGATGAGAGCCTTCAGTATCTGTGCTCGCTGCCCCGCATCCCTCTTGTCACACCCCTCAAATTTGACCAGGGGTTGCCCTGGGCAACGTAGGGTGAGGGGGGGTAACAAAAGGCATCCAACTGGCCCCCACAAGCCTCCAGTGTGTGACTACTGTCAATGCAAGTAGTTCATGTTGAGGAATGATGATCAACTCCTGAGTCATATAAACAGCACAAGGTGCTTTAGTCATTTCCATATTGTGCCGTGACTAGACAGACGGTAGAAGCCAAATGGACAAAAATGCACGTCAGGGCTTCGTACTACAGATCTGACAAAAAAACGTTTTCTTTCAATGTTTAAAGAGGCGAAAACTGAAATAATAATTTCTAAATCTCTTTATTTTCATTAAAAAAAGAAGCCAGCGTTGAATAAACCGTTGGCTAATCATAACGCAGTGTGTATTGCTTCTAAAACAAGTTAACTGGCATCAATAACAT